GAGGCAAGGCAATAGGAAGAGGAGGCAGGCGAGGCAGGAGGGAAGGAAAGGAGGAGCATTTGGAGCATTTGCGCAGCACCGCGTGCGAGGAAAGAGAGGAGGGAGGAGGGTGGGGCGTTAGCCAGCCTACGGCTGGCCGACGCCTGGGCTGTAGCCACAAGGAGGGCGAGGAGGAGGAGGAGGAGGAGGCCATCGCGGATCAAGGATCTTTGCTATGAGAGTCTCTTGGAGGACTCTTGGAGCCATCTTGGGTTATTCTTGGGGCCTTTGGGGTCCTCTTGGGGCTCTCTTGGGGCCCTCTCGGGGCCCTCTTGGAGCTCTTGCGGGGGGGTCTTGGGGTCTCCTTGGAGCTGTTTGGAGTGGTCCTGGGGTGATTATTGCCCCTATGGCTCAAAAGGGGGGTCGTACATGTTAGCCACGGCATATCAGCGCGAACGCCTTAGCAAAACGACGAGCATTGCACAGCTTTGCACAACAAAAGCAACATGGCGAAGGCAAGTAAAACGGTGGGGCCAGCCTGCAGGGCGCGAAGATATTCATTGGCGGCCCTAAGGATGCGAAGATAACCGCGCATGGCGCACCGCGGGGCGCGATTTGCGAATACAGGTGACCTAGGAGCCTTCTTGCGTATTAATTCTTCAAACACGCGGCAACAGGAATCCGTGGCCGTAAGCATGTATTGATCAATCACGTTGCATCTTGTTTTTTTTTCAGAAAGCGGCTGTGAGGCACTGCCAGACCCGAAGGCATGTGCAGCGTTGGCGAAATGGACAAGACCGAGACTGGCACAAAGATGTACATGACGCTCTACCCGGAGAAGAGCACGGATGGTGGCCTGCGCCTGGGAAATATTTGTCCAGATTTCTCAGCCGAAACCACGCACGGCCCGATGCCTAGTTTCCACGAGTGGAAAAAGGGCAAATGGGCAATCCTTTTCAGCCACCCGGCAGATTTCACTCCCGTCTGCACAACGGAGATCGGCCGTTTGGCGCTCAAGTACGACCAGCTGACAGCGCTGGATATCAAATTGGCCACTCTCTCTGTCGACCCTGTGAAGTCGCATGAGGAATGGCTCCGTGACGTTGTGGCCCACTGCGAGAACAAGATTGAGGTCAAATTCCCCATCATCGGCGACGCCGACCGCAAGATCTCCAAGATGTACGGCATGATCGACCCCGGGACGTCGGACGAGCAGTCTTTGCCGCTCACGATCCGCGCCGTCTACATCATCAACCCAGAGAACAAGTTGATGTTGATGTTGAACTATCCAGCCTGCGTCGGCCGCAACATGGACGAGATTGTGCGTTGTTGCCAGGCCTTGCAGATGTCATACCAGAAGTCAGTCGCGACGCCGGCCAACTGGCCGTACAACCACGAGAGCATCGGCATGAAGGGCGCCTTGTTCTTGCTCCCGACGGTGTCCAAAGAGGACGCGGACAGCAAATTCGCAGGCTACAAGACGTGCGAGGTCCCCTCGGGTAAGTCGTACCTTCGCCTCATTCAGGCAAAAGACCTCGGCATGCCGCATCTGATGCCTGCGGAGAAGCCAAACGGGGCCTCCCCGGAGTGCGGCTGCAGCGTGATGTGATCATTCCCGCGCATCTTGAGAAGCGTGTAGAGCACGCGTGTGCGCGCCATTTGGAATTCAGGCGGTGTGGAGCTCCCAATGCATGACCCTTCCATGGACCCCCGTCGCCCTCCGTCAGGGATGTCGCCCCCCGTCAGGGACCTGCAAAAAACAGCGTCCTGATCGGCACCCCGCCAGTTTTTCGCCGCTGCCCGTCCACCCGCTGCGCTTGACGCCTGGCGAGATGCCGGCGGGCACCGCGCGCGAGGTCCCTGAGCGCGGTGGGCGCTTGCAGCGGATCCCTGGTCCATGCTACCGTGGACCCTTCCATGAGTTTCGTCTTCGCTTCCCCCGCAGGAGACGAATTGGTCACCGGCGTGGCCCTGCGCCCGATGTGTCCTCATGTCGAGGCCCCTCCGCCGAGAACTGACCAATTTCCACTTGCTCAGAGGGCATTGCCTTGCCTCTGTATTGGTTCCCTCGGCGCTGGCAAGGTATGGTGCAGTCGCCGTGGCGCTCTTCAGCAAGGGACCGAGAGGCACACAAAAGCACGATGCATCTGGAAGAGAGGGGCGGTGGAGCCGATGGAGAGGCTATGATGAGGGGGGAGGTGGGGGAGGATAGAAGGGGAAGGCAGAGGCAGACGGAGAGAGGGCGCGCACACACAGACATGCACAGGGAGGGGGTAGGGCGGGCCCTCCGCTCATTCCCCATACCCCAAGATGGGGTTCTTGGTATTATTGGAAACCCTCCTCACTTCCTCCCGCCTCCTCCTCCCTCCCTCCTAGACTCACACTCAGATTCAATGATACTCAGAGCCACTCGTACTGACACTGACTCAAACCCAAACTCATCCACACCCGGCCTCACTCTCACTCAGACTCACTCGCACTCAGAGTGAGACTCACTCCTACTCAGCCCCACTCACACTCAGCTGACTCACGCTCAGACTCATCCATACTCAGACTCGTGCACACTCAGACTCACGCAGACCACTCGCACACAGCTCATTCACACTCAGACTCACTCCAAGGGGGAGCCGCCAGGGGGTCTTGCACTCGCCCGTTCACGGCCAGATTGTGGGGATGTGTCGAGCGAGGCGCCCGTTTGGCTTCGCCGACTCGTCTCCTTTCAGAGCAGATGGCGAGGCCGCCTCGAGCGAGGCGCCTCCTTCGGCACCCCACGAGGGGGAGCCGCCACGGGTGCTGCACGGGCCCGTTCGCGGCCAGACGGTGGGGATGTCCCGGGCGGCTTGCCGGCCCTGCCCGCCCCCGCCCCCCCCCGACTCCCGTTGCCGTTCAGAGCCCCACGCTCACCGCGATGCAGCAGGCTGGTATGGGGCACCACGAGGGGGAGCCGCGGCGGCAGAGCGTGGGGACGTCTCGGGCGGGCTGCTTGCTTTGCCCCCCCCCCCCCCCTAAGGCTCCCCTGTTTTCAGGGCAGGTGGTGAGGATCTCCCCAGCGAGGCGGTGGTCCCAGCGCTCCAAGCACAAGCCGCCAGAGGGCTACTGCACAAAACGGTTCGCGGCCAGATTGCGGGGATGTCTCAGGCGGTTTGCTTGTCTTGGCCCCACGAGTCGGCTGCTTTCGGAGCAGAAATTGTGAGGATGTCCCGAGCGAGGCAGTGGTTTCAGCACCCCAAGGGGTAGCCGCCAGGGGGTACTGCACGGGCCCGCTCGCGGCCAGACTGTAGGGATGTCTCAGGCGGTTTGCCTGTCTTGGCCCCACAGAGTCCGCTGCTTTCAGAGCAGATTGTGAGGATGTCCCGAGCGAGGCGGTAGTTTCAGCACTCCCAGGGGGGGGATCTTGCACGGGCCCGTTCGCGGCCAGATTGTAGGGAGGTCTCAGGCGGTTTGCTGGTGGAGGGCATCCCTGTGCTGCGACTGCTGCGGCGCCTCGCTGGCAGCTCCCAGGGGCGCCGCCGGCTGCCGCCTCGTCGGCAGACGCTCCTCGAGGCTGGCTCTCCTGGGCAGCGGACTTGCTGCTCGCCAGGAGGAGGAGGGAGGATGTATGAGGAGGGGGGCTGGCGGGCACGCCCAGGATTACCTCCCCGTCGAGCAAGACTCTACGATAGTCATAAGACGTCAGAGGATAATCGCCCTTCATCAAGACTCGTTTTTCCTACATTGACTGTACGGTGGCCACTGGTGGCATCCGTGGATCACACCCCACTGCTAGCAACATCGGTCAATCCTTTTTCTGTCATTCCTTTTGGTCGCGCCGCGTGTCTCTTCCTCCTATTTCTCAGCGGGTGTAGGGCCTTTTCGGGCCACCAGGAGCCCACGGGGAGCGTAGCCTGGTGACCCCGGAGGGTCGTGCTCTCCCTGGAGGCAGCTTCCCCGAAGATGTGAAGACAGTAAGTAAGGACAGAGGTGGGACACCAGCAATCAGGAAACGAGCGGGACAACGAGTCGGAATACGAACAGGATGTCGATGAGGCAAGTCTCTTCAACTAGAAACTAAGCGCGCGAAGCGCGCACGTGGTTCTAGCTTCTAGTGTGCAAACAGGTGTAGATACCGGTGTATATATATATGTATATATATGCACATATATACATATATACACATACTTACACATTTACATCTACGCACACACATACATATATATACATATACATATATGGGCGCTGGCGTATCCCCCCCGCTAAAATCGGTTGTCGTTTTCTAGTTGAAATTCTTGACATAGGGATTCCTAGTGAAAGCTTCGAACGAAGGCGAATGAGGCGGGTGAGGAGGAGGAGGAGGAGGAGGAAAATGACGCAGGTGAGGTGGAAGAGGGGGAGGGAGGATGTCCTGCACAGAAAGATTCTTAGGCTTACGCCACACCGCCGACCCCTTGTTTATGCCAATCTGGGGGTCGTAGAAGCTGCGAAGGGGTGAAAAGGCGAGTGATATTTGTTTGGTGTCTGTTCGCCGCCACCGCCAGAGGGTCTCGGGCAGTTCCGCGGGGGGGTCCGAGCGGACGGCGACACCGCGGGCGGTCGTGGTCTCATCTGGGGCCATCTGAGAGGCATAATGGAGCCAGGTTGGGCTCGGGAGTGTCTTCGAGCCGTTTCGGTAGCGGTCGGGAGTTTTTTGGGGGGACTGCCCAGGAGTCATGATGGGTCAACTTGGCCATGTGCGAGGCCACGGCGCGTGCAAAGGGTGTGCCGGCATGGGGCCTATGGCAGGCAGTTTGGAACCACTTGGGGGCCCAGGTGGAGGAAAAGGAGGAGGAGGAAAAGGGGGACACGGAGAAACGGCTCTGGGTTATGGGTTATGGGTGAGAGGCTTCCTGTATGTGTATCGGGATCTCGCGGATTGCTTCTCGGGGGCCTCTGGAAGCGAGTTTTGGAGCCACTTGGGGGCCGTTTCGGAGCCTCTGGGGTGCTTCTTGGGGGTTCCTTGGGGCGTCTGGGCGGCCTCGTGAGGGCCTCTGGGGGCCTCTTGGGGCACTCTTGGGGCCCCCTGGGGCTCCTGGGGGCAGAAAGCTAGAGTTTCAACATGTTTGGTCGCCGTCTTGGGCCCCTCTTGGTGCCGTCTTGGAGCCCTCTTGGGCCGTCTTGGGGACCTCTTGGGCCGTGTTGGGGCCGTCTTGGGCCGTCTGGAGGCCGTCTTGGGGGCCTCGTGGGCCATCTTGGGGCTGTCTTTGGGGCCTCTTTGGCCGTCTTGGAGCGTCGGGAAGCCGAAAAGGCGGAGACGCAAAAAACATCGAAAACACTATGGAAAGTCAACAATTTTAGACTCTTGGGGCCCTCTTGGGAGGCTTGTTTGGGACCTCGGGGGCCGTCTTGGAGACCTCTTGGCCCGTCTTGGGGCCATCTTGGGCGTCTTGGAGCGGTCGTTTGGCGTCTCGGGGCCTTCGTGGGCCGTCTTGGAGGCCTCTTGGGGGCTTCTTGGCCCGTCTTGAGGCCCTCTTGGGCCCGGAAAAGCCCCGTGAGTCGCTCGTCCCGGACCCCCCCCGCTCGCGCCCGACCCCCCCCCCCCCCTCCAAATCGACCGGACCGGGCTCCCGGGGGAGGGGTTTGGGGAGGGGGAAGCATCTCACACGCCGATGATCCCCAAGGGGTCGGCGGATTTCTTGTGAAATCCTCTATAGAAGGGATCCTATTGGAATCCTCGACAGGGATTCGTTTTGAAATCATCCACAAAGGGGTTCCTATTGGAATCCCGGGCAGAAAGATTCCTAGTGACATCGCCCAGATAAGGATTCCTATTGAAACCCTGCGCAGAAAAATTCCGAGTGAAATCCTCCACGGGAAGGTTCCGAATGAAACTCTTCACAAGAAGGATTCCGATTGAAATCCTCTACATAAGGATTCCTAGTGAAACCCTCCATAATAAGGATTTCTAGTGAATCCTCCACATAAGGATTCCGATTGGAACCCCTCACGAGAAGACGAGAAGGAGAATGAGGCGGATGAGGAGGGGGAGGACAAGGAGGAGTAGGAGGCGGACGAGGACGAGGAGGGAAGGATTCCTATTGAACCGCTTCGCAGAAAGAATCCTTCACAGAAGAGCCTATTGAAATCCTCATCGAAAGAATTTGTATTGAAAGCCTACACCGAAAAGTGCCGACGGAAATCCTTGAAACCGTATTCGCTGTCGTTGGCAACCTCCCCTGGCCTCAATGGAAGGATTCCTATTGTTTTCGACGCAGGGATCCCTAGTGGAATCCTTCACAGAAGGGTTCTGCGTGAAATCCTTCACAAGATGGGTTCCGATTGATAACCTTTCAAGTGATATCCTCCCCGGAAGGATTCCCATTGAAATTGTACACATAAGGATTCCTAGTGAAACCCTTCAAACGATGGCGAATGAGGCGGATGAGGAGGAGGACGAGGAAGATAAGGCGGATGAGGTGAAGGAGGCGGAGGGAGGGAATCCTCAACATACGGATTCTTGTTGAAATCCTGTACAGCAGGGTTCCTATTAGAATTCTCGACACAAGGATTCGTTTTGAAATCCTCCACAGCAGGGTTCCCAGTGAAATCGCGCACAATATATTCTGAGTGAAATCATCCACATAATGATTCCGAGTGAAATGCAGCACATAAAGATTCCCATTGAAATCATCAACATACATATTCCTATTGAAACCCTGCGCAGAAAGATTCCCAGTGAAACCCTCCACAGAAGGATTCCGAGTGAAACTCTTCACAAGAAGGATTCCGACTGAAATCCCCTACACAAGGATTCCAAGTGAAACCCTCCACAAGACAGATTTCTAGTGAAATCATCTACAGAAGGATTCCCATAAGGAGAATGAGGCGGATGATAAGGAGGATAAGGAGGAGTAGGAGGCGGATGAGGACGAGGAGGAGGGAAGGATACCTAGTAAAACCCTCTACAGAAAGAGTCCTGTTGAATCCTTCACAGAAGAGCCTAGTGAAATCCTCAACGAAAGGATTCCGGTAGAAATCCTATACAGAAAAGTTTCGACGGAAAATCTTGAAATCGTTTTCGCTGTCGTTCGCAGGGTCTCCATTGGCCTCAGTGGAAGGACTCCTGTTGTCTTCGTTCCTATTGAAATCCTTCACATCAGGATTCCTAGTTTTATCTCCCACAAGACGGATTTCTATTGAAATCCTCCAAGGAAAAATTCTGCTTGCA